AATCATTCACTGTCCTTTTCATACATTCAACATTTTGCATAAGTAGTAGTACCATGGTCAGGCTCAGTGTCCCTTCTGTCTTCTTTATATAAGATAAAAAGAACAGGAAACATAATATTGAATAAAGTGTCCAACTGGCTCCTCTCAGCTTCATTATGGAAGCAGCTTGCAAACTCATCCATGGATGATAGTATTTAAATAGGTAGTTAGCCATGAGGAAGAGTTTTTGGGTTCCTGTTATATTGTTTCTTCCTAAGGATAATTGAATAAGGAATATCTCTATATTTTATTCTTCCAAGCTAAGCAGCAGTGTTTTATTCACTTAATGAAAGACAAAATCTAGTTATGTTGCTTTTCTTTTAATACCATGCCTGCTTTTAACCTTGTTTTGTTTGGAGAGTATCACATAATTAATTTCACTTCATAGATTCATCCTCTTCTAAGAGATGAGGACATGAAAAGAGCTGAGCTGCGTCACTGGAGGATGGGATATGCCTGGGACCTGCTTGCTGTCCTGCCAGGAACAAGGGCAGGAGTTTACAGCACTCCCAGCAATACTCCCTCACTGAATTATCACCTATTAATTCTGTCTGCCAGTTGCCACTTCTGTCAAACTGTCAGTGATGCAGGATTTTAACTGGCACTGCTTTAGGAAAGAGGGATGTGCAAGGCACTGGCTCAGGAGTTGTGATGCCATTTGAAGGAAGTTCTTTTTCTCCATCCGAAGGCCTTTCTGCTTTTCATTTTGTTGTCAGGACAGAGTAAGATTTCCAGTAAAGCTGAAACTCATTTTGTGGGAAGTGGTGAAATGGGCTGTCTGGTGCCTTTGGTAGTTCTGCACTGCTGCTTTAATGGGACTTCAGACAACTGTCATTGAGGTGTCGGCAGCACCATCAGGAGGTTTGTCATATTTTCCCCCCGTAAGTTGTCCTGACAGATGACGTGGGATGATACTGTGCAGACGTATCATCAGCCTTGCCGAGGAGCTGACCTTTTCCTCTTCATTCACTTAATTTGTATTTGAGTAATTTGCATCCCTGTAAGGATGCTCAGTTGTCTGAGGAGCTGTCACAGCGACGTGCGCTCATTTCGTGACAAAACCCAGTAGTTTCAAAACACGATTGTTTCATTATTCATGAAATCTGTTGTTACTTTATCCCTCCTCCTGCACAGGCAAGGTTGGCCAGAGAGAAACAAATCCTGTTTTGTATTTGCAGGATTGGATATTTAATTTTTTTTTTTTTGCATAATGCAATGTTTTTATACAAATATCTCATGATTTATTGAAAACTCATCTAGTAAGAAATTTGGGTAGCTCCACATGAGGCAAAGAAGTTAAAATGGAATTCTAGTTCCTTTTCCTGGAGTGAGTATATGTTTAAACTTTTGAGTTTTAAGATCTTTTCTGCTTTCTCTGATATGTAATTACTGTGAAGGGCAAGGTACAGGTGCCCTTGCACAACATGAGCCATCGTTATCTTGGCTGTTTGCAATAAAACCAATGCTTGTTTCAAACTGAATTGTCTATTTTTACCTCTTTCGATATAGATTCCATAGATTCTTGTAACTCACAACAAACAAGGACAAATTTGGGGAGAAAAGAAGTGCAGAGAACTCTTGACAAGAAACAGGTTGTAAGGTAACTGCAGAAGACAAAAGCACAGGATGACTTTTATGGCTAAAATACATTTTAGTGTCATTTTTCTGAGGCACAGCCCAGTGACAAAGTTGGGTGATGTTCAGGAGGTTACCTTTCCTTGCCTTCTGCTTCTTTTAGCTTTAGTCCATGTGACCAATTAAAAAGTTTTAAAAAATCCATTTTTTCATTGGTGATTGTAACCCAATGTCCAGCTTATCTATTTTCTCCTTCAGTCAGCTATTTTTTGGGAATTGTTTGCCCATTTGTTAACACCTCACTGGTGAAATGTGTCTTTGGAGATGGGAGAAATCTTCACATTAAAAGCAAAGCGGAGAAGCTGTGTTTGAGTAGGGGTACAGTTTTAAGGATGAGTGACTGATTTAGGTTGTGGTATTTATTTTTTGTTTTGATTTTTGTGCAAAGCCTTCCAGTTTACTACACATTCCATAGGCTGAGGAATACATACCGAAGCAACATCACTGATAAAAAATGCAGACACAAAACTTGATATGAATATTTTTAGCACAAGAGAAAGCAGAATACTGATGATAAAAGGGAGATGTGTTTCAGAAAAAGAGCCAGGATTTAATTTTGTTGTGCTTTTCTTTGAGTGGATCTATAGTCTTGAAACATTATATTTTATCTCTGTTTATTGCCTTCATATATTCTACCTAGAGCTGTGTTCATAGTACTGTTTTGTGTGATATTTTTCTCTCTGTACTTGTCTTTTACTCCAACTCTTTGCTTTCTAGCTGGCAAGTATGTTGTTGGGGGTGTTTTTTGTAGCTTCTCATGTGACATGAGGTGTCACGGTGCTAAATACAGTTTACACAGTATAAATAAAAGCATGGTTAGAAGATTTGAGAACTTAGTAGAGATTCTGAGTACAAAGAGTCCCGTTTACTGAAGTTTTCCATAACTTAGAGCTGAATAAAAGTTACTTCAAACAGAGATGCACAATGAACCATTGGTAAGAGTAATCTATGCTGTATTCCTGAAGTTTGACATGGATGTACTGTGCACTATTGAGGTAAAAAGTACTTATATTCCTATTTAATTTCCAGGAAAAAAAATTACCATATTGCCAGTAACAGAGGAATGCAGCCTGAATGCCTGCAGTTACATATTAAATATTGTTAGGAATATTTTTCTAAAGTATTAATCACTTAGAAAAGTGCAACACAATAATTAGATGGGAACTGTTTTCCAGGTCCCTTGGGATATGGATTCTAAATGTTTTTGACCGTCCAGAAACTAAGACAATTTGTTAAAATATGACTGTAGGAACTACCTGTATTTCTGTGAGAATTTAAGCAGTTTTGTGTATATAACAGAAATGAAGTACTGGGTTTGCATCTGCTCACGTACCACAGAGTGACAAAGTGATCTTGGAAGCAAAGACTAAAATTTTGTGATGTTCCAGTTGTGCCTTCCACATGCATTGCCCGTGCCAAATCCAGGAAACCCAGCCTGCATTTGCTGGATCAAATCATACTTCAATGGCAGTAAGAATTGATGTTGTTAGTCATAGTTTCAGGCCTGATATTTTTTCAGAATCCACTCTTCGGATTGTATTATCTGGGTGTTTTTCATTACATTCTTTATTTCTGGCTTGATTCTGGCAGTTATTGTGATCCACTTTTGCATCTCATGTTTAGCTTTTTAATATGCCCAGCACTTGATGGACGGTGCAGGCAAATGAAGAACTTCTGATGATCTCTTGCTATAATAAAAATAGCCAAAACAGAACCCTCCCTTAAGAGAGTAATAGATTAATTCCTCTGCCTTTTGGATGTGAAGATCACCAAAGGTGAAGTCTGCAGAAGGGGTAACTTAGAGAGACCTTTGCCTCAGTGCTTTGTACTTTTTAGTCATAGAATCATGGAATAGTTTCAGTTGGAAGGTCCTTAAAGATCATCTACTTCCAAACATCCTGCCATGGGCAGGGACAGCTTCCCTTCCAAGAAGGTAGTCTTGGAATGTTAGAAGCTTATCCTCAGGTGTCATTTTTTACTCGGTCTTGATAGGCCTATTTGAATTCATCTTCCCTCAGTAAACTTCACAGACTCTAGATTATTCCTTGAGCTTGTAATTGCCATCTGTTTTCACTCAGTTTCTTTTAGGGTCAAGATTCTCTTAAATTAATGGTAATTATAGAAAATCTCTTCCGGTCTGGGGAGACTTCAAAGCTCTTTCTTCTTGGCCTTTGTTACTGGTGTTTTCCTTTTGGCAACAGTTATAGAATATGTTTCCCTCTTTAGAAGTAGAAATAGGTAAAAGAATAATAGTAATGCTGTGTTTTTGTGAAATGCCCTTCCCAGACCCCCTCTTAGTTTGTAGTTGCCTTTCCTCATGAATGGTTTTCAGAGCTGTTGCTCTCTCCTCTCTTTTGCTTAAGTGCAAAGTCATCTCAAGAGCAATATATTTTAATTCTTCCCTAATTATTTTTCTATTTCAGACGATTCAGGAAATTAAAGCTGTTTTGGCAGCACAGTATATTAGATCTGCTATAACCACATTTCATGTGATGTGAGCTGGTCTAAATTCCCTTTTATATTAGATTAGTGATTCTAATTTAACATATAAGTATTTAGTATGCATTATAGAGTACTATATTTAATTTAATTAGCTTTTGTGCCTTACTGTACATTTAATAAAGCAATTATTTAACCATTTGCTACCAATGAATTGTACTGTGATATTAAAATTAATACTGTCTGTAATTCATGAAGATACTCTAAGCAAGATGGAAGTATCCTTTTAAAAAGAAATCAAGGGCCACGTTCAGACCCTAGTACTGTGCTTATTTTGTCTTTCCTTCCTGAGTTTTGTAAGGAAAATTCAGGAAGTTACTTGTAAAATCAATGAATTTCTAAGTGTGGTACAGTTCATTTCAGGAGACGCTTTCATATATAATATTTTGGTTCCCTTTTTTATGGGTTGGTATTAATAAATGAGTATAAATAGTATATTCATCAGCATTTGGTGCAGTCTTGTTGCTTTTCCAGCAAGTCTTGAGCACACCAGGAGCTTTTACACACAAGAGTGGAGGTGGGTGGTGAACCTCTGCAGAACCACAATAAGGTCAGATGGTTGCAACTGCCAAATGCATGTCTTGTGCATCCCTCACAAGGGCATTCAGATGTTGATTGATGATTTGTAAAACATCTGGCCATCATCAATAGGGTTAGACTTCTGTTTTCAGTAGCATATATCATATAGCTTATATGTCATTAATATACAGAGTAGGTGCCACTGAAACAAATACACAGTGCTCTGCAGTTTCTGCAGAAATAATGCCTGTAAAAATTGTTACAGTGAAAATTATGTTGTTTTTTGTCCTTCTTTTCCTTTGCTACAGTATGGCTATCCAAGTTGACAAGTTCAGTTTTGAGAGCTTCCCAGAATCCCCTACTGATGGGACACAGTTGGCGAATGCGAAGCAGCTGGAAGAAGAAAGGCAACAAGCAAAAGGTCTGGAGATTAACAGCAAGCTGGATATTTGCTGGAAAATTATATCCTTTCATAAATACTTGCTTTAAAAATATATAAATAGATGCCCTATGACACATTTTATTTTATAATTCAACTCACTTCATAGCAGTGTTGCTGAAAAGAAAAGTAATTAGAACTATGAAGCTTATCATAATTATAGACTGCTTAAGGTTAATTGTGCTGTATATTATTTAGGTGATACTTGGGTCATCCTGTAATGGCTTTTTCTGAGTCATTGAGCCTGTCATAAATACTGTGTGTTTTTCCCAACTTTTAGGGAACCGAGGAAGTATAGTTAGGATTGAGGAGTAATAGATTTATAGGGTCAGATTTTTCTGTTCTCCCACACACCAAGTAACTGAATCATGAAGAAACATATGAAGCTGGATTTAGAGAGTTTGCATATATTTAATTGAATTTGAGTAAATCAGAACATATTAGAATAATTTATTTCCAAGTCCTCTTTACAGATTTAGTAATATATCTAATCTTGTGTAGCCTTTTAAGGCTTAGGCAGGACCTGTGAGATGAGTTAGTCATTCTAAAAGCACTAAAATATTGCCTTATGATTATTAATAAGAAATTGCATTTGGTTTAGAGTTAAAATAAACCAAGGGTGTTGCCATAAATTTCACGATTTCTATAAAAATTCTTGTGCTTGGCTTGTCAAAAATACACTTTCTCATGATTTTCTTCAGGGAAACATTCTGTACAACCAACAGCCCCCCATGCCATGTGATGATACTCAGCACCTTCCAGGGGATTTATATTTTTCACTCAGATCATACTCAAATTCACATGATAGTGGGTGGCAGGAGATGAGAGAAGAGTGGCAATCAAATCATGCTTTGTTTGTTTATAATTTTAATTATACTTTTATCTAGTGATCTGAAATGATGTTTCATTATTAACTATTACGAGGAAAAACATCTTTGTGTGTGTGACTGAGCACTGAAACAGGTTTCCCAGAGAGGCTGGGGAGTCTCCTTCCCAGGAGATGTTCAAGGGCTGTCTGGGCACAATCCTGACTAACGTGCTCTGGGGACCCTCCCTGAGCGGGAGAGTTGGACCAGATCACATCCAATGGTCCCTTCCAACCTTAACTATCCTGATTATTAAGTTACCTGCACAGGATTTGTTAAAGGCAAGGTCTTGTTAAATAAGAGTCCTAGTACCTGGTTCATTCCAGATTCCCTAAGCAAGATTTCAGAGAGAGTTCCATTTATGCAAAAATGTCAATATTTAACCAGAACTCACTTAGAAAATGTCTGTGTTATGGAAAGATATAAATATTCCATGGTAGCATAGATGAATTCTTACGCTGGAATTGAGTGCATAGTTGTAATCATTTTGTCAAGGTGGAAAAATACATCCTCACTCATTTCTGTTGCTGGGCAACACTGTTTACATCCATCCTGTGTTATGTATTTAAGCCCAGTTTTGATCCCCAAACTGCTGTGGCTGACATGTAAGTCAGTACCTCAGTAAACCAACAGAACAATGCATGAATTTTGTGTGCTAAATGAGTGCAAGCATTAGTTTCTGTGTTTTTAATACTTACGATGATCGTTCTCTCTGTTCCAGAAACTAAAACTATTCTAATTAATGAAAGGCAAGAAATTTTAGATGTGCTTAAAATCCTTGAAGGAATATGTACGTTCTGTTCCACGTTGCCTGTCCTGGCTAGGGTCAGTCTTTCTCATAGAATCATAGAATTGTTAATGTTGGAAAAGACCTCCATGATCATCAAGTCCAAACTTTGACCTAATACTACCATGTCAACTAAACCACAGCGCCGAGTGCCACGTTGAGTCATTTCTTGAACACCTCCAGGGTTGGTGACTCCACCACCTCACTGGGCTGCCCCTTCCAATGCTTGACCACCTTTCAATGAAGAAATTCCTCCTGATGTTCAGCTTGAACCTCCCCTGGCTTCATCCTTTTTATTTCTTACAGCAACGTTGAGATGTGCACCAAAAAAATTCTTCTCTCACTTCTGCTAAGTTTAAGAAACTTGTTTTCTGAGACATTTTTCTTCCACCAGAGTAATTTGACACTGGCCAGAGGAGTTTATTTCAGACATAGTGATACACAGACAGGCAGAGGAATGGATGAATAGTTTAGCTGCATAAGCCTTTTCCTTCAGTAGTCGGCCTAAGTGCAGCTAAGAGAGGAAAAGTATTTGGAAAAATACAAAGGGATACAAAGGGATAGAGTTGCTTATATTTCCCACTGGAAAAGGTATTTTTGCAAAAGTCCTCTGAATGGTAAGACCAAGTGATCTCTTTTTTATTCCATCATCTTTGAACTATTTTGAACCCAGGTAACTTTTCTCTGCTAACCATGTGCGTGACCAAATGGATGTATGTTTGAGAGAACACAGTTCAGATGTTTTGTTGTAAGTAATCTTAAGTTGTTTACAAGA